AGGTGTTCTGTACTGTATAGGCCTATATTAAGTATGGCGGAAAACAGTGTAGGCCTACTGCCAGGAAAGACTTACCGTCTGCCATCTCTATTAAGGAAAATCAAATTATGAATTATAAACAGCAATATAATAATTATACTAATAATGTAATGTACATAAGTCAAGTAACTTGGATCAAATTTAAGATGACGGACGTTTCTTTATTGTAACATTTAACATCCATATTTTTAGAATTTATCATTCAATGTGAAATTATTATTAAGGTATTAATAAAAAATGTTATAAAATGACATAACTGTAATTAGTGTAACGTTTGTCCCGTACCGCCACATCTTGCTGTTCAAATAAAATGATACTAATATAGTTACCTGCCTGGAAATTAATAGGTACCATCAGCTCATAAGAGACAGGCTTAAGACTGTCCCCGACGATAAATCGGGTCGGGCTGCGTCGGCCGACGCTGTCTGAGTTGGCCTTTATTATTAGCCTGCTGACTATTGTTATCGTTTTATTATCCAACAATATAAATATTTATTCGCCACGTACATATTTAATGGCAGTATCAAATTCAGACTCAATTTTTCATATTTGGTTTTAAAGGTTCAGTTCCTTAAATAATATGCCTATCTCAATCTGGATTTGGTACTGTTTTTTTAGCAGGGGTTAATTTAGAGACGGAGGGGGATATACAGAGCTTTAGTGCGGCCCTTAAAATACACCTGTAGCATGTATGGTTTTTTAACTGTGAACTGCGTACGCACCCAACGCACCCCCACCCCCTGGATACGGCCTCTGAACTCACAAGCTTGATAGTGGCCGCTACTGCGAAGTTGATGTTCTTGATGCAGACAATGAAAACGAGGTGGTGGTGTTGGTGGAGATTATGATGATTTGATGGTTATGGTTATTCTGATGAACGATGATAATGATGGTGATGACGCTGGCGATGATAATGAAGCATTAATGTCATGGCGGCACTATGTGGCGTTGAGGATACTAAAATTATAAATCATGAATTAATGAAAATGATGATAACATTGATGATGATGATGATGATGATGATGATGATGATGATGATGATGATGATGATGATGATGATGATGATGATGATGATGATGACGACGACGACGGTGACTATGATGATGATGTTGACGATGATGATGATAATTAATGTCCATTCGCGCTCTTCTAAATAATTTGTTTTCAAAAGCTGTAGTGGTATTATGAACACGTCATAAAATGATAATAATCACATGGCACCGATGATTGTGATGGTATCCTCAGAAATATCTTCCAAATCAGAAATTACATAGACGAATCTGTTTGCCATTTACTGTATTTCTCTACTTCATGGTTCATTTGAAAAAGAAATAAAACGTCTGTAGCTAATTCAGAACAGGGCGGCAAAACTCATATTCCGAGCGATGAAATCTGACCATGTCACATATTTATATACCGGTACTCACACGGCTTCATTGGTTACCTGTTCATAAACGCATCATTTTTAGGATTGTAACTATGACTTGTAAGTGCCTACATAATACTGTTCCATCTTACCTTCAGGAACTTATAACTTTATAATACTCATTTACGTGCTGGCCTTCGTTCTGAACTTGATCCTTTTAAACTTAACATCTGTCCCCAAAAGTTTTCACCTCTTCTCGGAACCAACTTCCCACCGCCATCTGTTATGCTCCAACTCTTTCTGAATTCAAATTTCTTCTTAAAACTCACCTTTTTCTAAAGTTTATACATTTAAGCGCTGTGAGACTCCAGTAAAGAGCGCTATATAAATGCTTAAATATTTTTATAATTATTATGGTACCTATCAAGGATCGTGATGGTCAGTGGTGTACAAAGATTATGATTATGAGGTAAATAAGGATGCGATGACCACCACCACGGGGATTACCATAACTATGACACGAACGATTACTGACATGATATATATGACGATGGTGGTGGTTTCTTTCCTTGGCTATACATTAATACAATCATCACTACAATAGAAGCAAATATAGTCCATGTACAGTTTTATTTAATTAGTAAGTGAAAGGTCAATTGTTCTCATGGAAATGAGACAATTCACAACAAAACACCAACCCGCGGAAACAACTAATTATGACATCATAATACTTAAAACAACATTTAAATAATAGAAACTTCTACTACAGCAACGTAATGATGTTATGGTTATGTAGATTCGATTTTTCTCGGTGTAATTTTCATGTACTGTATTGATGTAGGCCCTATCTTATTTAGTTTTTATTAAGGTGTTCTGTACTGTATAGGCCTATATTAAGTATGGCGGAAAACAGTGTAGGCCTACTGCCAGGAAAGACTTACCGTCTGCCATCTCTATTAAGGAAAATCAAATTATGAATTATAAACAGCAATATAATAATTATACTAATAATGTAATGTACATAAGTCAAGTAACTTGGATCAAATTTAAGATGACGGACGTTTCTTTATTGTAACATTTAACATCCATATTTTTAGAATTTATCATTCAATGTGAAATTATTATTAAGGTATTAATAAAAAAAATGTTATAAAATGACATAACTGTAATTAGTGTAACGTTTGTCCCGTACCGCCACATCTTGCTGTTCAAATAAAATGATACTAATATAGTTACCTGCCTGGAAATTAATAGGTACCATCAGCTCTTTTAAGTCAACATTTGTCATCAAGAGCCATATAAAACGTTACGTTGACGACGCGATCAATTATTATTATTATTATTATTAGGCTAATAGATTTCTACAACCTGCTGACTATTGTTATCGTTTTATTATCCAACAATATAAATATTTATTCGCCACGTACATATTTAATGGCAGTATCAAATTCAGACTCAATTTTTCATATTTGGTTTTAAAGGTTCAGTTCCTTAAATAATATGCCTATCTCAATCTGGATCTGGTACTGTTTTTTTAGCAGGGGTTAATTTAGAGACGGAGGGGGATATGCAGAGCTTAGTGCGGCCCTTAAAATACACCTGTAGCATGTATGGTTTTTTAACTGTGAAATATAGCCGAAGTTGACCTAATGTACAAATTTAAGACCTCCGAAAATATTAGTTTATCAACACCCGACCCTCCGACACTGTGGGGTTGAGGTAGGCCTATATGTTGAATCAAACCAACTGAAACTTAGCCCACTAACGAAAATCATGTCCCTCCTCAGCATTGCATACACAAAACATGCATTGAACCAATTTAAGCTCTCATACACCAACTTGAGAAATTGTGTAATTTTCAGAATAAGTACCGTACTTAGAGTATGGCAATGAAATTGGAATTTAACTTATTGTTACTCTTACTTTGTTTACCATTGGCGAATTGATCGCAGTGTTTAGCTACTGATACTTAATTAGACTTACTGTACCTGTATTTGAATTGATTGAACTGTATATTTAGGCCTAAGTAAGCTAATTAGAGGCTTCCTTAATACAAATTACAACGCTAAATGTGTCTTCGCCAATAAACAGACATACAGATGATCTGTCTGCTATCCATAAATGTTCATAATTTGAACCGGGACCATTAATCATAAGGTTTGCTCGTCATAATTAAATTCAATTTAATTCAATTGAAATAAAGGTACACTATTCTAAAAAATCTGTATCATACTATCATAATTTTAAAAAAAACAGGGGTGGCGCCAGCGGAGATCCGGGGGACCAGCCCCCCCCCCCCATGACTAGCATCCCTCCTTAATTGTTTATGAATACCAAACCCGACAGGGAGAGCGAAGTCGGCGTGGTCGGGCTTGCTCAAACCGTTTGAAAAGTGGTACAGGGCGAAGCCCCTGACAAATATGACAATTTAGGGGTTTCAAAGGCTTATTTAATCAATTGATAGATACTCTACTAATAATGCAGAAAATGTATATACTTTCTTTTTTCCCCCCGACTCAGTGTAGATGTTCTCCCCGGGCCCCAAAGGGGGAGGGAGCAGCATCTCCCTCACAGGAGAAGGGCTCCCCACTGGGACCACCCCTGTTTTCTTTAGTTTCCAGTAAAGTACTTACAAAATATAACTTGAGTTTATATAGAGAATTATGCCACAGTGAAATATAGGGTGCCCAGAAAGGCAATTTTACAGAAAGAGGATTAGGTTGAAAGCCCAGGATGGGCCCTACTAAGGTAGGGATTGTTTTTGTCTATGCCAGGCCACAAATGGCAATCTCAGACTTAAATTTTGAGTTTCTAAGAAAGAAAATTACACTTTATCTTATGAGCTTCCGTTATTTTTATGAGATGAACCCAACACTGACATAAATATGGGGGAAAATACGAATTAGTAATACAGACTGTTTGAAGATCATAAGAAATACAAAACAATGTTCATGACTTTTGGCTATCCCGGCGAATTCGGAGTGAATTTATCTATGGTCGAGCATTTTTAATGGCGGTGACTTATTGATTGTGCTATAATAAAGGACAGAATAGTTATGTTACCACTCTAATATTCGTATGTTTACAGTATTTTATTTGAAATTGGTTGACTTATATATACTAGGCTACTAGCAATATAGTAATTCTGTATCTCAACAAAGAACGTGAGACCACCCCTTTGTTTGGAAATTTGTATCCACACCCACATATAGTGTAGCCCAAATGGTTTCGCCCAAATGACGTAGCCGTTGAGCAATTCCATTAACAGAACCATATAGAAGAAAATAATGTACTCTGTGCTTGAAAAATAATAGAAATATGCCTTTAAAAGGCCTATATGGCACAACAAGAAGGAAATGGATGTAACGAGATCAGTTTGCGTCTAATAATAAATTAATTCCTACAGGCTACACCATTTTATCGCCGAGTACAAGCGAGTTCCGCGATCTACGACGAGCCGATTATCGTTTAAGATTTATTAAGTTCAGATCAAGTCAATGACATCGATCAATTAGAAACTAAATTTCTGATTTATGTACAGTGGGAAAGATTATCAAACGCGATATGAAACGTAGCCTGTGTTTCAGTCACTTACCTGTTATCAGCTGGAGAAATTCTGCTTGTCAGAATCAAATAAATCTGAAGACAAACCGCTGCACCTGTATATTAAAGACCACAACGTAGTTCAACTGGCTTGGAGCTTTACTATACCTTCACTGCTTTACACAGTTCCATAGATTGTTTTGTTTTGATATGCAAATTGAAACATCAATGGCATGGTTCATTCTTAAAGACTCCCATTGTATGGTGGCTTTGGTTGGATACCATAATATAAAATATCATTTTAGTATAAGGTCTATGATGCCGTTGGTCTTACGGAAAATACGTTTAAAAGTAGATACAATGCATACCAGCTCATTCCGTAATGATAAATACAAGAATAACAATACACTTAGCCAATATGTTTGGAAGCCTAAAGAAGATAACATAAAGTACAAAATTATGGAACAGTGAAAATTACAC